TTGGGATGCAATAAAGTCGTGAGTTTGAGTGGCATTTTTGATTATTTTTAACATGCAGTAACTACTACCCATAATCAGATTACCAGAGTGTGAATAGACCAATTCACGAGTGCAGTACCTGCTGGAATCCAGAATTATTAGCTGAAACACTGCACAAACGCAACTATTTTGCCAGAAGCTGAAGCCCAGAAACCATTGAGCCCCTTTTCTGGCTATTCACGGGGGTTAACCTAATAATCCTTGCGGGCTCCGAGATGAAGCAGTTCTTCCCCAAAACCCTCACAGGGGCCACACCGGGGGCAGATAACCCCGAGGGAGCAGCTCAGCGAAGCCACCCCTCCCTCAGCACCAGGGCTGTGGGCAGGCAGGGGCTGAGGCGGCCGGGCCTTTCCCTCTCTTCTCTCCCCCCCTCCCCCCGGGCGCCTCACCCTCCTCCTCGTCCTGGAAGCTGAGCAGGCTGGCCCGCGGCACCTCCTTGCCCTCCCGCGGCCGCTTCTTCTCCTTGTGGCGGCCGGCGGCCGGCAGCCCGTTGCCCTGCTGAGGCGCCGCGGGCGGCGGGGGAGGAGGAGGGGGCAGCGGGGAGGGCGGCGGGGGCCCCCCCAGGCCCGCCCGGTCGGCCGCCATCAAGCCCAGCCCCAAGCCCAGCGCCGCGCCGTAGCCCGCGGCACAGGCGAAGGCGGCGGGGCTGCCGGGCAGGGCCAGGGGCACGCAGCCGGGCGGCAGCGGCAGCAACCCGGGGCCACCGGGACCTCCTCCTCCTCCGACCGCCGCCGCCGCCACGGTGGAGGCCTCAGCCGGCCCTTCCCCGGCGGGTGGCGGCGGGTCGTGCGGCGGCTCCTCGTCGCGCTCCTCGTCCTCCTCCTCCGAGGCGTTGCGCTTCCTCACGTTGACCCGCCGCGCCTTGCGGAACATGCCGCCGGGCGCCGAGCCCCCCGCCCCGACACCGCGCCGCCCCGACACCGCGCCGCGGCCCAGGCCCGGCTCCCCGAGCATGATGGCGGCCGCCGCAGCGCCCAGCAGCGCCCCGCCGAGCCGCCGACACCGCCAGCGCCCCCTGCCGCCCGCCCGCCGCCATGCCCGGCCGCGGGGCGCCCGCCATCTTGTGCCCGGCAGCGGCGCGGGCTGTTTGAAAGCGCGGGGCGGGAAGATGGGGGGGGGGGCAGGCACTGCTGTCGCCTCTGTCAGTCCCTGCCCGCCCTGAGGGTGTCTCCTCCTTCTAGGCTAGGGACAGAAAGTGGGGTGGTGGCTCTCCCAGCGCTAAATGGCGGAGTGTTTTGGGGCAGGGGGCTGTGGGTGCCTTGCACCTGGCTGGAAGAAAAAGCATAGGCTCGTTAGGGTGGGAAAAGCCCTCCAAGGTCATCTGGACTGTAATAAATGGCTCAGTCTTCAAAATAGGACTATAATCAAAGTTTGCAATTTATTAAAGGAATAGAGGTAAGCAAACAGCGCTGGGTGCGCCAGGAGTCTCTGCCCCACCAAGACGCACACCAGTTACATCAAGCAGCTGATTTTTATGCTCCTAGGCTAATACTACTTCTAAAAAACAAAAACAAAAACAGGGTTATTATAATTAGTTTCCGGAATCCAAACCCTCCTACTGGAGCTTACGTATCAGTCTCCGGTGGTCCCTCTGGGGGTCTCTCGTGCTGAAGGCTCATAGTCTTCCTCCCTCTTGTCCTTCTCCTTTGTCCAACTTGGCTGTATGTCAGAGACGTGTGCAACGTCCCCTGAAAGCTTTGTCTTTTAGTTGTTCTTCAGCTCTCCCCGTCTCCTTAATCTCCTGCCCAGATACCAGAGACTTGCATAGTGTCCCACGCAATAGTCATAATAGTTAGCAGTTATTCTGAACCCCCCCAGATGTCAGACTTCAAGGAAAAGCCTACAAATACATTTCCCTTCAAGCTCTCTATTGACACGAATTGCTAAAACTTTCCTTTGCAAGATACAAGAATTACATACATTAACCACTCTGTTTTTCTAAGACTTGTGGTTATACAAGGGTATGTAAGACAGAAGGTCACATTCATCACACCATGCGGCCCTAGCATTGTTCCAGACTGATATGAATCAGATGAACATATCTCACATGGTCCAACCATCACCCTACCACCAGCATCACCCACTAAACCACGTCCCTAAGCATCATGTCCAGCCTTTCCTGATGAATGATGGCAGACGCTAACAGATCATTGACCTCTTTCAAAACAGGTCTTTCAAGTACAGGTGTTGGAAACTTGCCATATTTCATCCTTCCCACACTACTGAGACCATACCCAGCAACCGCTTTTTGCCAAGCACTGGTGGAGCCTGCACAGGAGGAGGTGCAGCAGGCCTGGCTGCCATCCTGCAGCCTCTCCCTGCTGTGCAAAGTGCTGCCCTGCTTTTGTGCTGCTGTCGGTCCACGTTGGCTTCCTAAAGTTACAGGGGAATTACTAGTTGGAAGGAAAACTGCAGCTTCTATGTCCATTTCTTTTTTCTGATATGAAAAAAATGACCTCAGTTTCCATTCATTGGGATGTCCAATAATTATACACCGAGACTAAAGACTGGCACATACAAAAGCATTGTGTGTATAAATATTAGTCACTGTACATACATGGTGAAACATCACAGGCTGCTGGTTCTTGACCTGATGCTAAGATTTAGAGGGTGGATGAATGTAAGTGTCTTACACTGGCATTTAAAAACAGATTCACTAAATCACATAATTGTTTCTGCTGTGTGAGACTTAAAGTAGTGCTGCAGGTAGTTCATGTGCAGACAAAGGAAACCACCAACTGAACTAATAAAGCTCACCATGTATACTTACATACTTTGTTTTGTATTTTGTGCTTTCCATTGCTCTGAAGAAATGCTGTAAGCCTCTGAATGGCAAAACCACATAAAATTTAGATTGGGAGAATCAGGTTTTTAGTATCTGTTGGAGAAGAATGGGTGAACTGCAAAGATCAGTGCAATATTGGTGCTGCAAATTTCTGCTGGTCATGTAACTGAGAGGATGTTTTTTTCCTGATTCCAGGAAAATCTCTGAAGTGATTATTTGTGTACAAGAGTAAGATGTCTTTTACACGATCCTTACTCAAAACACTGCTGTGGCAAAATTAAATGAAACTTTAATTTGCACCTTTAGAAAGCATATACATTTATTAATGTCGTGATTTCTTCCCAGCAAGGCCAGAATACACATACCCTCAGTTACAGCTGCATGTGTGGATTTCAAAAAGTCACCTCAGCAAAGCATTGCTGTCATGGCAAAGTACTGTATTACTGTGCTATTCAGCACATTTTTTGCTAGAGGGCAGCAAAGCATCACTTAGTGAATTCACGGAAGGTGATTTAGGCTTGATTTTAACAATTTTTTAACAGAGGGTTGAGAACATCTAGAAAACAATATAATTATGTGTCAACACTTTTTTTTTTTTTTTTTTTTTATCATTTGTGAGGGCAATGTTAGTACTCTTGCTCAGATTGTTAAAGGATGAGATTCCTGGACAGCCAGTAAGACTTACTTGTCTCTGTAATACACACCAAGCATGTACATGCTCAGAATGACACCCCTGTTCCCAACCTCTGTCAGTTCGGCTTCAGTTCCTAACTATGTTGTAACTTGTGGCAAAATTGTGAGAGGGATCACTACAAACGTTTTTGATTTGGGGAGAAGGCTTACAGTTTATTTCTAAGGTGCTGACAAATTAAAACCATCTTTACAATAGCTGATTTAATAGCTCTCTGAGTTAAATCGAGTTCAGTCCCCATTCTTCAAACATCCATGTGCTTAAATCTGTTCGTTTGCAATTGCAAAAGACCCAATTACTTCACTAGTTAATACATGGTTGATTTCGATGAGAAAGCTCGCAGTAATGAAGTTATACATGTATTTAAGTAGTCTGAAAAATTGTGTTGTGTTACCTATCAAAACCACTCCATCATAAATGACAGTTATAGGAAAGACTTAGCTTAAAGTTGCTGAAGCAAACTCATAGGTTCCTCTGAATCTTACTAACTGTTCCACTCAGAACATGTATTTTATCCTAGATCAAGAGAAAAAAATATTATTTAAATCCTTTGCTGGCAATGCAAGACTTAGGAGTTGCTATTCCAAATCCTTTATTTTATTATAGGTATTGATCCCTGCCTTAATCATATCTCATAGAATGTGAATGCTGCAGACATGGGCAAGGAGAGGTCTTCTGACTATCTATGCTGCCCTGACATTTGTTTTTCAGGGGATGGCAATCTTTTTCCCACAGTGCCCTTGAAAATTGTTTGCTACCTGTCTGCCTGAAGCCTTGTCTCCCTTATCAGATGAGAGTTGCACAAGGGGGGATTCTCCTTTTTTTCAGAGGGGAGAGTTTACCATTACCATAAAAGATGAGGTCAAGTTCCCCACATTTGGGGAAATTGCAGGAGCCAGCACACCTAAAGATGCAGACTTTTTCCCCTTCCCTTCCCTTCCCTTCCCTTCCCTTCCCTTCCCTTCCCTTCCCTTCCCTTCCCTTCCCTTCCCTTCCCTTCCCTTCCCTTCCCTTCCCTTCCCTTCCCTTCCCTTCCCTTCCCTTCCCTTCCCTTCCCTTCCCTTCCCTTCCCTTCCCTTCCCTTCCCTTCCCTTCCCTTCCCTTCCCTTCCCTTCCCTTCCCTTCCCTTCCCTTCCCTTCCCTTCCCTTCCCTTCCCTCCTCGTCTCCTCCTCTCCCTCTCTGCCCGTGCTCCCTGTGGGGTCCCTCCCATGGGATGCCATCCTTCCCCAACTGAGCCTGCAGGGGCTGCCCACAGGCAGCAGCTCTTCAAGCACTGCTCCCATACGGCTCTGTCCCATGGGGTCCATCCCCCAGGAGCAAACTGCTCCAGCACGGGTCCCCCACGGGTGGGCGGCAGCTCCCCCCAGACCCCCTGCTCCTGCTCTGCAGTCTGCAGCTCCAGCCCGGAGAAGCAGTGCACGTGGGCCTGCTTCTCCAGCCCATCCAGGTCCCTTTGAATGAAGAGCATTGGGTGAAGAAAGGAGGAGTGTCAGGCTGGCATGCATTAGAACTTTATTGAAGAAGACTCATGAAAAGGAAGGAGCACAAACAGAAGGGCCCTGGGCAGAAGTGCAAGCATAGTGACCATCAGCAGCTATGTATTTTGTGCAGAAGATATTCCCGGAGCATGGAGATCAGCGCATGGTCTGATCTCGGAGCATGATGAGCTCAGTCCGTGAAGTGGCTTGCAAGGCATTGTTAGCTGCTGTCGAGGGTGTTGATGTGGGTCCTTAGCAGCGGTAGCAGGCTCTTCTGCCAGAGAAGCATCCCAGGCCTCCAAAGAGAGAAGTTAAAATTCAAAACACCAAAGAGGATGAGGTTACCAGCTCAACTGATTCAGTCTGTGCCAGTAAGGAAGAAGTACCCAGTCCATCAGCTGATGAGATGACAGCATACATGTACGTGCAGTCACCTGCTAGCAGTGAAGAACCAGATTCCACCACAGACCCTGTTCACATATTGCAGACTTTATCACTAGCTGATGACAAACCTGTAGACTTGACAAATAAAAAAAGAAAGTGATTCAGAGTGTTCAGAGTCAAGACAAGAAAACAAAATCATCTCATTTGGTTTTGGCAGTAGTTCAGACTTGTCATTTGCTGATCTGGCTTCCAAAAACTCTGGAGACTTTGCTTTTGGCTCAAAAGATAAAGACTTCAAATGCGTGAATACTGGAGCAACTGTGTTTGGAGCACAGAAAACCAGTAAAGCAGATGAAGACGAAAGTGGTAGCGATGACGAAGTGGTGCATAGTGATGATATCCATTTTGATCCAGTTGTGTCCTTACCAGAGGTGAAGGTAAAATCTGGAGAAGAAGATTAAGAAATTATTTTCAAAGATTTGAGCCAGAATCGAGATCACTGAGCCAGTAGTGGAAGGAGCGTGGTGTTGGAGATATAAAGATCCTCTTCCTTACACAGAAGAAATATTATAGAGTCTTAATGAGAAGAGACCAAGTTCTTAAAGTGTGTGCAAGCCACGTTATCACCAAAGAAATTAACTTAGTACCATCTCATACATCAAATAGTGCTTAAATTTGGACAGCCATGGATTATGCAGATGGTGAAGTAAAAGTAGAATATATTGCAGTCAGATTTAAAAGTCAAGAAATTGCTAATTCTTTCAAGAAGATATTTGAAGAAAGCCAGCAAAGTTTATCAAAACTGCAGAAGGGACAATGACCTCTACCAGCAGGACTGTCAAAGGACACCAACCCCATTGTGTATTTTGAAGTTTCTGCTGATGACAAACCTTTAGGACATGTAACCACGGAGCTGTTTTCAAATATTGTCCCTCGAACAGCTGAAACTTTCAGGGCCCTGTGAACAGGAAAGAAAGTATTTGGACTGAAGAACACCAAATTTAACAGAATAGTTACTGACTTTGCGTGTCAGGGAGGTGACATAACTGACCATGATGGAAAAGGTGGACGGTCAATTTATGGAGATGCATTTGAAGATGAGAACTTTGAGGTGTTGCAGACTTCTGTCAAGGGTGTTGGCATTGGTCGTTAGCAGGAGTAGCAGGTTCTTCTGCCATTGAAGCAGCGGGCGTGTGGAGAAATAGGCCTGGTGGGGCGGCTGAAGGAGGGGAGTGGGGGTCAGGCTCACCTTGTTGGGCACAGGGGAGAAAGGATTGGGAGGAGTGTGTGAGGGTGAGAGGCGCAGGGCTGGCTTTCACCCTGGTCCCCAGGTGCCAGCCTATGCGCATGACAGCATTTGGCGGGAGCTGCTCATACATGCCAAAGCTGATCGAGTAATGAGGTGGGGTGTGCTGTCCCCACAATGCTCCATCTTCATTTCCTCCTGCTGAGGGTGTTGGAAGTGGCGGAGCATTTCAAGTGAGAGCATTACAGACCAAGGTCTAGTTCCTGAAGGTTCTTCCTGAAGGTTCATTAAACGGCCGGTAGAGGATGCATCCAAAGCATGGGAGAGGTGCTTTGTCACCAGTGAGGTCATGGTTTGGCACTCATGAGGTGTGGTTGGTGGCTCTGTGGCAAGGGGACAAGGCCAGTAAATGTAGGGAAGGGATTATTCCCCTCACTATACTGCATACAGAGTGCTACATGAAGTTTTGTCCACCCCCTGTACAAGAAAACTGTTGGTCAACTGGAGTGAGCCCAGTGGAGAGCCACCAAGATAGTCAGGGGCTGGAGCACGTCGCTGTGAGAAAAGTGTGAGGGAACGGGGCTTGCTCGGCCTGGAGAGGGGAAGGCTGAGGGGGCCGCAGTTGCAGCCTCTCTACGTGGAGGAAGAGCTCTCTGAGAAGATGGAGCCAGCCTCTTTGTTGAGGTACAAGGTGGGAGAACAAGCAGTGGTTACAAACTGAAACAGTGGAGGTACTGACTTAAAATGTGAAAAAAAATAAAATAAAATTCCTCATGAGTTCAGGCAGACAGAGAATCCTTTGCCCAGAGAGGCCACGCAGGCTCCCTCCTCAGGGTTTTTCAGGACCTGCCTGGAGAAAGCCCCAAGAATCTGGTCTGGTCGCAGAGCTGGAGGTACGCAACTATGTTTTCTTCTGAGGCAGAACCCTAAAATAAAATTTATCAGGAGATTTCTGTTCTTAGCTTACAGCATATAAGAAGAATTAGTAGTGATGTCTTCCCGTTGTTTCATGTTTTCTTCTTTATGGAAGTGTTTACTAAATTAGTCTGATGAGTCTGTCTTACTTTAAATTCCTCCTTGTAGAGTACACAGTCAAAACTGCCCATCCCATAATGGCTCCTTCTGGCCAAAGCAAAGAGAAGTCCCATCTCTCTCTTAGAGTTTTGCCATGCCTGTGGCTACTGATTGTGTCAAAAAAAAACTCAGTAAATGAACGTTACAACATAGCTCTTGTTGTCTGAGGTTGAGAAAACATCAGAGTACAGCAGGCTGGGAAAATGCTCTGTGATACTAGAGACATTTTCCACGCTGTACGACTTCAGCAAAGAGTATCCATTGAAAAGAGAGGTATCCAGGAAAGAAATGTATACTAACATTTGCCTGTCTTTGTTGTGCATCGCAAGGAAGTCCTCTTTTTCATGGTTGCTGCTACTGGAGATGGTTACACTCTGCTCTGGAAATTGTCCCTTGACCTTGTTTTTCACCCGGAGCTTTCGCAGTCCCCAAATGGTCAAGTATTCTGTCGGGAGAGGAGCAGTGCCACAGAAGGAGAGCTTCAAGTCACACACCCTTGTGAAGTTGAGGAGCATCTCCAGCACGGAGGTGTCTGTGAACCAAATGGTCAGGTCACTATTGTAGTTAGTTTTTTCCATGGTAGAAGGCAGCACCGTTCTGCAGTTGCACATCAAGTTTGCCAGGTTGTAATCACAGTCACGGATATCCGCCAAGCAGCTGCAGTTCCGAATTATGCTTTCCTTGGTGAAAATTAGCGTATGGTTCTTCTGACTTCTCAAGAAACTGTCAGCAATGTGTATGCCAAGGAAGCCAGCCAAAAAGAGAGATGGCCAAAAAGAGAAAGTGGAGAAGGCTATCGGCTTCATTAGTCTTGGTGCCAAACTGCCAAGCGTCTTCTCCTTTTACCCAGTCTCTTGTCTTTACCTACTGAGGAAAAACAATTTCTTTATTATTCTGAAGACCACTCAACAGTTAACATTACTTTTGCATTACTTTTGTGCTTTCTTTCTCTGCTTCCCCCCTTCATTTAACCCAGCAAAGCATGGTAGCACCCCCAGAAATGTTCATGGCCAATCAAGCAAGTTTCCATCCCAGAAATGCTCCACCTCAAATGGCTGGAGCAGGTTTGGTGGGGACTCTTGGATTCTCAGCTACCAGCTTTTCATAGCAGGGTCAGATCTTGGGTTCTCCCGGCATGTTATTAAATGATGGTGCAAGCAATTATGAAGGATATCATTTCTCAACAAAAATCATTAGATGTTGGAAAGTTTGTCTGATTTGACTGCAATTATTTTGAAGCACAAAGAGACATTAGAGACACATTTTGACCACAGGAAGCCTAATGAAGGCAACAGTAGGGCATGTACTGGGCACAATTTTGTCCTTGGAATGTGAAAAGAAGGTTGCTCCATGTCCAGAATGTGTGTGCAGCACCTCAGAAAACATGCCAATGCAACTACAGTTTGGTGAAAAATAATGGATAAACAGGAAAACAATACTATTTATAATAAAAATGTGAATTGGTTTGGTAAAATATATAATCTACCATCATTAGACAATGAAATCTTCTGCTATAAGCTTAATCATAATTTAATAGAAAATTAAGGGAAAATGTATGATTGAGATCTAAATGTTTTAAGCTCAGTCAGTCCTTCCTGAAAATTCAAGTGAAAGTGTTCTTTGACTAATATAAATTAAATATATATAAATGTATTTTGGTTGAATAGTGTGTGTCCTATTTTCTCACATTTCTCACTTATAGAGGACATAGTCCTTTAGCTGACCTTTTTTCTTCAAGTTCAGCCTCCTGACAATGAATCTACAGAAACTGTGATGGTTTGCAAATGACTAGAAGTTTGACATCTGTGGGAAAAGGTAGAAAAGGGAAAGTTATGTGCACATGTTGGGTGGGAAATAGTCACATAAGAAGTGGTGGGCTCTGGGCTGGATTCATTTCCAAGAATGAGATGTTTATGATATACAGGACCATGAAAACATTAGCTCAGTGTTTAATAGCAATGGAAAAGTAATTAAATTGTTAAGAAGTTGGAAATGAATGGAGAAAAGGAGGCACTGCTGTTGAGCTACTGCATAAATCCTTTGCTCATACTTGCCTGCTGTGTGCAGTTTGGATCCCAGTGTCTCAGAAAGGGTATCACAGACCTAGAGTTTGGAGAAGAGCAAGCACAATGAGATATGGAAGGGCTTCTCTTTAAGTAAAGTGGAACTAATGAGGTAGGACTCTAGACAGGAAAAGGGATGGTTGAGGGAGGATATGGTGGTGATCTGTAACAGCACAAATAGCATGGAGACTGTGTAAAGATCAGTTGTTCACTGATTTTTTGAATTACAAGAGCAAAACATCTCAAATAACCCCAATAAGGTCACACCTGGCTTGTTAATCCTTGGCAAAGGATGCTGGTGGTACTAAAAGTTTACACAAACTCGAGGCAGGACTAGATAAGTTCAGAGAAGAGAAGACCACTGAGGCTGTCATGTATACAGACAACACACTTATCGCAGATTGTGGAAATCCTTGCCTGTAAAACAGTTGGAGGCTAAGAAAGTTATAGCAGTAGGTATTGTGTGTTGTCTTCCCATCTGAAATCTCACCTGCGTGACTTCTTACAGCTGCATTTGGAGATGGCTACTTGACTAGACGGATCTTTGGTCCGACAGATTATGCCTATTCTTACACAAGATTTCTATAGTGTAAAAGTAAACAAACTAACTCAAACACGATTTAATTTTGTATGTACTCCCTGAATTTGGCATGTTGTTTTCTTAAACAGAGGTTACAGACATCTTAATGTTCAAATCAAATATTTAACCCATGTTCCCCAGACTTATTGTGGAACATACCAGAAATACCAATCCAACTGTTGGATAATGTTTAACTTCAAAGGTCAGGTGCACACAAGCAGTGACTGTTCTGGTATCCTTAATGCTAGATGAATTTGGTCTTTGGTATCTAAGCATTTAATCATGCATTACATTGAAAATCCTGTCTACTAGAACTTCACATTGTGTTTATTTGCTCAGCTCTTCAGCTTTGGTTAACAGTTGTGATAAAATAAATAACAAATTTGTATTATCACCACTGTTTCACAAGTCAATTAAATTACTTGGATTTATTTGTTTTGTATTTGCAAGAATCCCTAAGCAATGTTAGCAGTATGAATATGAACTAAGTAAAAGAGATTTTTACTGAAGACTCAGCAGTTTTGCATTTCAAATTCCCACCTATGTTGAAAGGGGTGATGTTTTTTCCACCAAAATGTGAGAATTTAGCAGTGATAAAATATCAGAAATGAAATAATTTGCTGAATCCTCATTAGTTCTAGCTCTTGGTTCCTTTTCATTTTGTTGTTGTTATTGTTATTGACTTTCTTCACTAACTAAAGAGTAGAGAAAGTTCTCTAATGTCTTACAGCCAACAAAAGAAGTCTCTTAAAAGTTTAGATGTGCTGATAGCATTTGGACTCTGTTCATCAAAATCCAAATGAAATTCTAAATCTTGGCATTCCAGGAAATGCTGTCTCCAGAAACTCTTGCTATCTTCTTATGGTCCCTCCAACTACTCCTATCAATTATTATTTTTATTATTATTTTGTATTTGGTTTCTGTGTGGCTTTGGTGAGCGCTATGCAAGCAATGAAATATATGATGCAGTTTGTCCGTCTGTGAAATGTCAAAAGGACCTGGAATGTACCTTTACTAAGGCTACAAATTATCTACAGGGAAAAAAAAAAAGTGCATTATATGTCTCTTACCCAAATTACTTTATTGTCTGAACTGGTTAAGGCTTGGGAAAGGCTTGGTTTTAATTTTTGGTGGGAGGTGGCAGCCCTTTAAGGAACTAGTATCTTAAAATATAGATGAAATTTAAATGCACTAACATGATGGTTCTTACTCCGAGTTGTATCTTGTTGAATTTTCACTGCTGTCACAGTGCTGCTAGAAAGCAGGGGCCACAGCTTCGCAAGATAACTTGTCTCTGTAGAGAGAGGCTCAGAAAAGCCTGAGTCTCAGTAAGAAGAATGTGAAGCAAAAATCACAGCCTTTTAGGAGAGGTGTGGGAGCTGAGGGACAGGAATTTGACATGACATGACGTGGGGAAAAGAAGGAGGATCAAAGAAGAGCATGGGTCTGAAAAACAGGGCTAATTTTGGTGAGGCCTCTCTTTCCTCCAGTTAGTCAACAGCACCTCTCAATTTAGTATCATCAACAGACTTGCTGAGGATGCACTCCACTCCTGCAGATCATTGATAAAAATGTTAAACAGGACTGGTCCTAGAACTGAGTCCTGTCTGAGCACTGCCTGTGCTCCTGAGTCCTTCTGTTGTCTCCCCCAGGGCCCTGACAGACCTCAGGCTACCTGTAGCCATGTTGTCAGTACCCACTGGGAAGAGGAGGAGTGGGCACTAGTCGGAGGGCTGTATTATGCTTGAAAGCTTCCTGGTATCTGCCCTGATCTGAGCCCTGGGGAGGCAGCAAACTTCTCTGTGGATGGGACCTGGAGTGCAGATGGAGCCCCTGTTCCCTGAGGAGGGAGCCAACTCCGACTTCAGCTTCTGCCATTTCTTCACAGCGTGGGTCCTGGAGCTGCGTGTGCTGTGAGGCCTTGAACTTGCCTCCACTCCTCGGTGCCCCTCACGCTGCTGCCTTTATCCTGATGCCGATCAGGTGCCAGGCCGGCTTCAGTACTTGCCGTGCCGGGTTGGCACGTGAGTGCCTGTGAGGGCAGAGCATGGCCCCACTGATCCATCACCTCCATACACACAGGGTGCCCAGCCTTGGGGTGCTGGGGCTCAGGGACCCCCTCAGACACCTCCTGAGCCTCATGATCTGCTCAGCACTTGGCATCTGCTGCTGCCATTAAGAGTGAAGTAAAATTATGTAAGCGTTTTTGAGCTTATCATTTTATACTAGCAGACTGCTGAACTCAAGAAAATAGAGTGGTATTTCACATCTAAACTCAGCAAACGATCAGGATGCTCTTCCCTCACAAGTCAGCAAACAAAATCTACCTGCTTTCACATGCCTGTTCTGGTGTCAAGCATAACTCGTTGGTCTACAGAAGCTTGAATTAAGAAGGAGCTGGGCTGCATTTTGTTTACATGTAACTGTTCAATTCAGCTGTTTTAAACAGCTGTTCTTGTCCAACCTCATACCTGATGTCTTTGAAAGTGGCTAGGACAATTAAAATGGTGACAGATTTTCATATAAGAAATGATTGAACTTGTTCATTAAGCAGCTGCAGTGAGCTGACTGATAAATTCATTTTGACGAACACAGACTGGCTCTGTAGCCTAAGCATGGCGTATGCTATAGGACTTCTGTGCTACTGCTGGAGGTTTGGTTTTGACTTTCAAGTAACAGTCTAGAGCTCTGCTGAGCTTCAAGATGATGTCCAGCAGCAGTAGTACCACCATGGGTTCATCTGTTTGTCCAATGCAGCAAAAAGACGGTCTGTCCAGACTGTCGGTGGTTTATTGAACACTATCCCTTTGAACAACATAGTTTATGCATGGCAGCTTTGATTGTAACATCCCAAACGACCATGTTTCAAATGAGGGGTAGGAAAAACAAACAAACAACAACAAAAAAAAAAAAACAGGTAGGCGGGATATAATAAAAAACCTTTCACCCAACTGCACGGATACTTCTTCTAAGTTAGTCTCATACAGTCAGCTGACAAATAGTGTTTTGAAATGATGTGCTGTTATGGAAATGTTTCTTTTTTATCAGTGACCGGTCATCTGCTTCAGCTGCCACCTCCAACAAATCCATCCCCTACTGAGGTGAATTGGATGAAATAAAGCCTACTTTCCTTCCCTTCACAACTTCACATAGTCTTGTTTTGGAAATATATTTAAAGTAGGAAAAACACTAGCAGGTAAATAGCTGCTGAGTTATACCACCCACACCGCCTTGCCATCCAGACTGACACAGTGGTAGCATTTAGGAATGAAGTGAAAAATTAAATCAGCATACAAGAATAAGCCAGTGCCTCAACTAGCATTTAGAGTGCATTGCCCCAGAGGTCTTTATGCCTGTTTTTTCTCCTACAGAGTGACCCAACTTCACTAAGCACTGGCAGAGTACCACTATGCCATGGGAATTACTGGTGGTTGGTCCAGTTCTCCTCTAAACAGCTGGCTGTTTCCCTGTGGTTATCTGCCAATCCCAGCATTAAAACTTCTCAAAAAGTTTTTGAAGTGCAGATTTTGGTTTCAGTGTACTGAAGAGATACCTCAAGTTGGGTATCAGAAGAGAAAGACTCAGCAATTACAAAAAAAAAGTACTGGTCAAACCTTTACCACCTCAGGTGCTTCCTGGGAAATTGAGAGGTGGAAGTAGGATATATTCAAGATCAAGATATTCTTAATCATTCTGAAGAAGTTAATCATCAAGAAGGCTTGGCGATTGGTATCATCTTCTTGAGTTTCGTCAGGTATTTGAGTTTTCTGAAGCCCACAGTCAGCTACCATACTCTGCTTTAGATAAGTCCTCCCTGACACTGAGGGGAAACTCCTTCACCAGCCCAGATTTTAGGGCTTTTTGTGATAACCAGATCTGTAGAGTTGATTACTTGGAGAAGAGGGAAGAAAGCTCAGCACTAAGCGCCAAGTGCAACTACCTAACAACTACATAAATCCATAGTAAAACATGCCTAGGAGTACCTGGACACAGCACCTAACTCACAGAGCACAGCCAGGGAAATAATGCATGGTGCCCCCACCCCAGAGCACGGACTCAACTGATACAGGTGGATAGCATGGCAGCCTATATATTCAGTAATTAATTCTTCTTTCCATGCAAAAACTGGAGGAAAACTAGAGCCTGGATCAATCCTGGCCATGGTTGGGAAGGCAGGGCTGTCCTCAAGCTGGGGTGTCTGCTCTGGGGACGGGACCAGAGGGGCTAAGTGCTCTGTTCACAGCATCCTGCTTAGTGGCAACCACAGGCTGTGATGGTTTTAGGGAAGTTTCATGTGCTGGAGATAGCAGTAACCTGCTTCTGAAAAAAAAAAAAAAAAAGCACCCCATTTTTGAGCAATCTAAATACAGTTAGTCATTTGTTCATTTTTACCCTGAGTGGGGGGCCTTTTAAGTGAAAATTGGATTAGATATAGATACCAGCAGAAAACGGTTCTGGTGTGACTGCTTGAGCTATGAATGTTTTACTTGTGCATCCTCTTTCCAGCTTTGAAACCCCTATTTTATAGCATGTTATCCCAAAAGTTTTCTGGCACAAGATTCCAACCCCCCTCAATTTTCCTCATAGGTTTTAAGAGCTCAGGGAGATTTCCAATGCTTATTTAGTAATAGTGTCATTACAGGTTTCTGAATTTGCTTTGATCATTCCAGTAATTTTTTTATTTTTATTTTTTGCTAATTGCAGATCTGTGTATGAAGAAAACTGCAAAAAAGCAATAAAAAGCCTTTGACTGTTGTGTGAGAATGCTACTGTCTCAAGAAAAGTTAATCCTATTCAATGGAAGTCCCGAGCCTATACAATTAATTTCTTCACAGGGTGCTTTCTTCCATTCACTATTCAGAAAAAAAAACTAATTAAAATCCCTCATTGATCACTTGTGTTAACATGTGCCTATGTGAAAGTGCTGTATTAAGCAACTTATTTAAGAGCTTAAATCCATATAATCTTGTGCAGCTTGGGTAACGTACACAGGATGAATACCAAAACCACCCAATTTAAACCAAAATAACATGAAAGGCTGGACAAAGCCAAAAGCATTTATAAGGGGAGCAATGAGGACTGCCTCCTTCTTTTCCTGTGCACATGCAGGTATGGGAGAGACAGGTAAAAATATGTGGTACTTCACAGCAGAGGTGGGAGCAAGGAGGTGGGCAGGATGCTGCATTCACCTGCCACACAGGAGCTTTGGAGAAGAGCGTGATCTCATTACACTGAGGAGCAAAGTGTGCTCTGAGCTTTCATCCATCTTTTTCTGTGCTTTTTAACACTGATCTAACCTGAAAAATGTTTTTGGAAAAAAAAAAAGGTGGCTCTAAAGAATGCTCAGGGCTGCCATTTGATGGCTGTGTTCTCCTCCTGCTGTGACAAAACACTGGGAGTTTTTGAAGTGCAATTTTCTCTTTGAAATAATAAATTGAATACTTCTATTATTATTATTATTATTCAAAGATAGCACTAGCAATTTGCTTGGCAGTCTATTGGATCTTCTGGAAATAACTTTTATTGTTAAATTGTAACTGAACAAAATAGGAGCTCTGGTTTGCAGAGAGGAAGGGTGAGGTCAGCTCCTAAAATCTACTGAACCAAGCAGGTGTTATGACAGGAGGGACACTACTGGAAAATTGAAATGACTGTGCAAAATGAATAAAAGATTCGGACTCCTAGTAAGTCTAGTCAGAGTATTCACGTCTAAGAAGCCACGTTATCTCACCAGAAGGCCCTAGGGAGGCTTAGGCCTTGAGGCAAACAAAATGCCTTTTGACTCAGTGGGAGTTTCAGGAGTTCCCCAAGCATGCTGTTGGCACAGGGAGGTATTTGTTTAAACAATTACTGTGTTTAGTTATGCCACAGATAAATACAGGAAAATAAGTTGGTGATAAAAGCTAATATTGTACACACTCCCAGACTGCAGCATGAGCCGTGCTTGCTGCTGATAACTCGAAAATTGCTTCCTCATTGTCGTTAGGCTGAGCAGCCAGTGCTGCTGCGGTGGTGTTGTCATGTGTAGCGGAGCAAATTCCTAACTAGCAATGATAAAAATGCAAGATAAGAACAGCCGTACTACTGTATGAAACATGAACAACACACTGACCCTTGGAAATCCTGGGCAACCAGCTCTAGGTGGCCCTGCTTGGACCAGAGGACCTCCAAAGAATGATAGAAATTTCAGATTCTTTCTGCTGCTGTCTAACTGCAGCTCCAGTCTGTTGGCTGCCTGATATTTCTCGGCAGTGACTCCTACAGCTTTCCACTAGTGGGACTGTCAGCAGTTTGAACGCTTGTCCTGATGCTTGTGAGAGACTCCTCTATGAAAGAGGGGCAAGGAAACAAAACCAAGCTCTGGCTTTGCGCTAAAGAGAAACCATAGAGTAAGTGGATATATGTTACAGTGTGAAAAGAGCTCACTTCTACTTTAAATCAAATATTAACATTTCCCAGCATCTTCCTGGCTCAATTCTTGAATGACCTATTCTTTTTCCTTCCAATGGGCTCATTTTAATTATTTTTATTAAAGAGAAGCCTTAACAAAGACAATTTCCTTCGGTACTGGTGCTGACTCTGAATGCATTAAATACACGTAAGCTACAATGTCAGGGCTTTTGTGCTTATTGTGATCAAAAGACTGATTTTTCAAAAAGAAGTGTATACACATACTTAAAGAATAAATTTGTATGCTCATGAATGTAATTTTCGTTAAACTAGTCATTTTGTAATTGTAAGATATGAACCATCAAATTTCCGTTTATTCCTCTGTCCACAGGAGGGAAATCAGGTGTTCCAAGGGTGGATGATCAACACTGTCTGAGCACCAGAGTTGTCACCAGTGAATCAAGCTGAGTACTTCAACACTGAAGCATATGAACATTAAATTCAAAACCACTTTTTAAAATTCTCCAGGTTTTGTGTCAAACCAACTACTTCCTGGAGCAAAGGTGTGTGAACATTAGGGAAGAGATCTTGAGTGCAGCTTTTTGGCTTTACTATGTTCAAATGTTCTTTCTAACCTAACCTGCAAAAAAGTTCAAGTTAAGCATTACACTAAATTAAAGATTTACCAAAGCCCACAAAGTTTAACTTAATTCATTAATGGAAATTGTGTATGAAGTATATATTAATACTTTATTTTCTTTTGCTCAAATCTCAAACCAGAGAAAAAAAAGAGGTGAGAAAGAGGTGAGAAAAGAAAAGCAGCATGTTAGAAAGCTTTTAAGAAATGCTAATTGTCGTTAAGCAGATGGAGACTGAAACCCTAGAGCAGGATTACCTGGTGCCAGGTGTCTCGGTTCCCCTTCACGCTGTCGGATAGTGCATGGTGTCACTGCCAGGAGACTCCAGAGCCATGTAGTGACAACGTGATTGTTTTGATTTGTACTTACTGTGTTGCTGGCCTGATTTATAAATTAAAGGTAGAATAAAACACAGATCCTAGATACTTTTTCAGTGATCCTCCTCCGTAGGTGCTTTTCTCAGGCAGTCTTAACAGAAGGCACAAGACAACTCTTCTCCACTGGAATAATTCACAGCATTACTTCTGCTGCCTTTAGCTGAATGACTTGCCTAAAGAAGCGTTTGCAAGATGGACTAAAACCTTTCCACAGATCTTTCAGGTTATTATTCATAGAGCTATTAATTATTACCTTGAGTATACGGGTACAGCGTATAAACAATTGCAACATGTCCAAGACAAACTTTGCCTAATCTGTTATTTCCCCATGATTACAAAACAACAAATCTGAAACAAAATACCTGCCAGGAGGAAAGAGTCGGTGGTGAGGAAATAACTGTGCTGTGAGAGAAATGGCCTCAGTCATTAATACACAAGCTATGAAGTGTACCCCTGTTATTTACCACCCCCTTTTTAAGACAAAACAGAAGCAGCGACTTACCCTTTCTCTGTGTGCCAGCAGTGTCCGTCAGCGTGCTGCAGCCCTCCTGGAGGCAGTGATGCTTGGCGCTGGGGTTAATCTGCAGGGCAGGCAGGGACGCCTCCAGCTCTCCCACTCACTGCTCTTTCATGTTCCCGTGGGGCCAGCAGCCCCCACGCCATTCCCTTGGCAGCCTGGAGAGAGGTGCAAGGTCTGCTGGTTTCATGCCACCACAACGGGGCCCTACCTGTCTTTGTTACCTCTGCTCCCACACCGCTCCCACGCCACCTAGTAGGGAGCAAGGACTGAGAATCCCTAGGAGGTTGTTTTTTTTTTTCTGTAAACAAAGCCAGACCTTTGCATGCCCAGGATCATTCTGGGAAGATGTTGTTACCTGAGTCAGGTAGCTTGGTCAGAATTATTGAGAATTTTGGAAGCAGTGTTTTAGTTTCTGCCCTTCTCAATTTTATGCAGGTGCCTGGATTCACAAAATAGCCTTGCTCCATACCATCTTTACTTGGCTTCATGTTTTCCTGTAGGGCTAACACAAAATGCCTTCAATCCTCCCTCAGTCTATTGGATGGAGTCAAGCAATTTAAGTCTGGCTCTGGCTGGCAGCCACTTCAACATCCTAGCCACAGAAACCTGGGGCGGACAGCTGTATGTGCTTCCACTCTGAGGGCCTGTTACCACCAGGTTTGGAACAACTCTTAGTGACCTTCTTCAAAAGAAAGCATTATTGGTCACTTTACAGCACTAAATGTGAGAAAAGGTTAAAACCAATAGAGAGTCATCCAGTAACCTGACTGTATTTTTTTTTTCTTTCAATATATTATCTGGAACAACCAGTATGTCACAAGTGAATGATGCTTTTAGAACAATCACAGAATCACAGAATGGATTGGGCTGGAAGGGACCTTAAAGACCATCCAGTCCCAAACCCCTGCCACGGGCAGGGACACCTCCCACCAGACCAGGCTGCCCAAAGCCCCATCCAGCCTGGCCTTGAACACATCCAGGGATGGGGCATCCACAGCTTCTCTGGGCAGCCTGTGCCAGGGCCTCACCACCCTCATGGTAAAGAATTTCTTCCTTATATCTAACTTAAAACTACTCTTTCAGTTTAAAGCCATTAATCCTTGTCCTATCACTACATTCCCTGACAAAGAGTCTCTCCAGGAAAATGATAGGTTGTTAAGGCTGGCTCATCTTTCCTTTCCGCAGGGATAAATGCATCCTAGGCTCTTCCACTGTTACTGCTCAGGAGGGTACCACCAAGCAGGTAGATTCACAGCAATCCAAAGTCGCTCATCTGGGAAGGAACCTCAGGAGGTCTGTGGTCCAATCTCCTGCCCAGAACAGTGCCAGCTCTGGCATCAGACTAGGCTCCTCAGGACTTTCTCTACTTAGCTCTTGAAAACCTGCAAAGATGGAGCCTGCACAACCCCTCTGGAGAGTCTGTTCCAGTGTTTGATCACTCTCATAGGGAGTTTTTTCCCCTTATATAAAGTCAAATCCTTTCCTATTTCGCACCATCTCTTGTTCTCCCATTGTGCACCTCCATAACAAGGCTAACCCTTTGCTGATGACTTCGCCATAGATCCTACATCACCCTGTCCTAAGACAAGTTTCTAGACTTTACCAATATTCTGGCTGAAATCCACCACAGCCTTTAGCCTTTGCTAAGCCATTGTTCCCTGTCTCCCTGCATCTAGTAGGCTCTCTGCAGCAGAAACATGCCATCTTTTCCACCCACGAGTAGCTCTCAGCTCAGCCAAGGTGCTACCGCAAGCAAACACCAATCTCCATGGTATCGTAGTCCTTTAGACAGTAAGTTCTTCTCTTAGTTGGTAAGACTGCAATATGCTTGGCACTCCCACCCCTGACATTTTGTCCCTCACAACACTGCAGGATTGGACTCTAAACCTTTCATTAGTTCAGAGCCAGGCTGAGGGATGGATTTCAGCCTCGCCTGGGTTCAGCACTCTTTCATGGACTTACAAGTGAGCCAAGTGGCTTTAGGCCAAAAATGTTCCTGCTCCTGTCCAGCATCTCTCAGTACGTCATCACGGGTGATGGTAACGTGTTTCCAGCTGTGTGCAAAGCGGGCTGCCACAGAAGCATAGATAAGCATAAGATAGCTGATAATTTTTGCCATTTGTCTTTGAAGGAAAGTAAATATGCCTTTTATCTATTCTGTGTATGTGTATACACATCCATAACTTCTTGAACCAGGAAACTATTTTGAGTTTCATGACTCCTCAGGGAGAATGTGAAGGTGTGACGTTGGGGTGCTCTCTCCCCTACTCCTGTGCATTCTTCTCCAGTGAAGGTAAAGAGAAATCCTATAATGCACCAGAAATGCAGTGCCCTCAGGTCATTAAAAATAAGCAGCAATTCTGTAAGAGGTTAAATAGCACAGTGGGTTTATGGAAGAGTACATACATCCCTCAGTATGGACTAGCATCATATTCCATATGATGACATAGAGTAATAAACATGTACATTATGTATATATGTTACAACCGTATTAAAACTATAAGAAAACATGAATTAAATAATTATTTGGAGTGATAAATTAATGTTTGTGTTAACCATGAAGGTTGGTACGCACTGTTCAGTGTCAACCATAGAGTGACCGGGATATTTTGTCCTGATGTCAATGGATAAACACTTCTAAACAAACACCCAAACCCCACTTCCAGGCTTGGCAGCTACCAGTGCTCTTCTGAACCTGCTGGCAAGGACTCTGTACACAGAAGCGAGATCATCTCCCCAGCTAAGGCTCGAGAAACCTGATGATAAACAGGAAAAGAAGCTATCTACTTGGTCACTTCCACCAGTCCACAGAGGAGCGTGTTGTCAGGTATGGCTGTAGTTTTTGTTGTGGAGATAGTCATGCACTGACTGCTGGACTAAAACCTCTGGCTGATGGCACCATTCAGGCACTTTGTGGTTATGCCTAAACTACGGCTGACGTGCAGCTCTACTATCATTGCTTTGTGAACATCATTGCACCTGAGCAGTGGGGTACAGACTCCCCATAAAGCTCAGTTCTCTGCAGCTCTTGCTGAATGCAGCCCCTTAAAGATCATTAAGAAAATTAGGCTGGTAGTGTTCAGTATTGTGACAGGTCAACTCTGCCATTTGTCCATGTCCTTTGACAGTGGGAAGCTTGTACCTACCAGCTGCAGTCACAGCGCCCTGAGGGGAGGAGAAGGCCTGGACCCCATAGGCTCTGAACCAGTTCTACCAGTACCTATACTGCTAGTAACAAGCCCTGCCTAGGAGTAATGCCCTCAATAGCATGCTTTAAATTCTGGTTAGCCATGAGGTGGTCGGGTGGTTGGGCTTGATGGTCTTTGAAGGTCCCTTCCAACTGAGCTCTTCTCTTCTCTTCTCTTCTCTTCTCTTCTCTTCTCTTCTCTTCTCTTCTCTTCTCTTCTCTTCTCTTCTCTTCTCTTCTCTTCTCTTCTCTTCTCTTCTCTTCTCTCTTCTCTTCTCTTCTCTTCTCTTCTCTTCTCTTCTCTTCTCTTCTCTTCTCTTCTCTTCTCTTCTCTTCTCTTCTCTTCTCTTCTCTTCTCTTCTCTTCTCTTCTCTTCTCTTCTCTTCTCTTCTCTTCTCTTCTCTTCTCTTCTCTTCTCTTCTCTTCTCTTCTCTTCTCTTCTCATCCACCTGTTTGATCCTTCAGGAAGCTGTAGTGGGTTTACGTAGCAAGGTTTTGGTAGCAGGGGGCCATAGGGGTGGCTTCTGTGAGAAGAATCTAGAAGCTACCCCATGTTAGGCAAGGGCCCCACTGCTGACCAGAGCCAAGCCAATAAGTGATGTTGTTTGCGCCTCTGTGAGAACGTATTTAAGACAGGGGAAAAAAAGTTGTGCCACACAGCAGCTGGGAGAGTAAGAGGAGTGAGGAACAGGCACCAAGCAACCTTGCAGGCGCCAAGGCCAGTGAAGAAGGAGGGGGAGAGGTGCTCCAGGTGCCGGAGCAGAAGACTCCTGCAGCCTGTGGAGAGGCCCCTGGTGGAGCAGGCTGTCCCCCTGCAGCCCATGGGACCCACATGGAGCAGATCTCCACACTGCAGCCCCCCCACGGGTGGAGGAGCCCCCGGTGGAGCAGGTGGATGTGGCCTGGAGGAGGCTGCGGCCCATGGAGAGCCCCCGCAGAGCAGGCCCCGGGCCAGAGCTGCAGCCCGTGGAGAGGAGCCCATGCAGGAGCAGGGAGTCTGGGGGGAACTGCCCCCACCCGTGGGGGACCCGTGCTGGAGCAGTTTGCTCCAGGGGGATGGATGGACCCCGTGGTACGGAGCCGTATGGGAGCAGTGCTTGAAGAGCTGCCGCCTGTGGGCAGCCCATGCCAGATCAGTTCAGCAAGGACGGCATCCCGTGGGTGGGACCCCACAGTACAGGGAACGAGAGTGACCAAGAAGGAGCTGCAGAGAAGAAGCACTATAGACTGACAATAACCCCGATTCCCCCGTTCCCCTGCACTGCTAGGGGGCAGGAGGTGGAAGAAGGTGGATGGGGAGAAAGGTGCTTTTGGTTTCCTTCCTTTGTTTCTCGCTTCTCTAGCTTGTTAGTAATAGGCAATAAATCTTACTATCTCCCTATGCTGAGTCTGTTTTGCCTGTCACGATAATTACTGTGCGATCTCCTCATCCTTATCTCAACCCTTGAGCCCTTTTCATTGTATTTTCTCCCCATTCCTCTTTGAGGAGGGGAGTGAGAGGATGGTT